AGTCTGTTGTGCGGTGGCAGCCGGCGCTGGAGCCGCCCGTCGGTGGGAGGGCGGCAGCCCCGGGAGGGACGCGCGCTGGGGCAGGGGAGGGCTGCGAGGGCCCCTCTCCCTGAGGAGGAAGGAGCAGCAGAGACATCCTGTGACGAACAGGGTCAAAGAGCGGAGACTATAAGCTTTAAAGACAAGGAGAGTTATGCTCAATTTACCAAGTGTTCAGTACGTTTTCAAGCCCCACAAAGGAAAGGGAATTAAAAAAAAGGAGTCTTAAAATGCAATTACGTATTTTGAGGGAGCAACTGTTGATTAAGTGCAATGGTTGGTTACACAATGCATTGCTGTGTAGGAGCAGCCTTAGGAGAGAGATGTCTGCAGATCACTCTTCCCCTACTCGATTATCAACTGTATGGAGAAAAAAAAACCTGAATGACAACAGTATTAAGGTGACTATAGAAAAAACTTCATGCAGGTATGGTAACAGTGATCTATAGTACCCAAGAGTATCTATCAGTCAATATTGACAAAAAGCTGATTATATAAGTATTAAAAAAAATTCATTTTAATGCATATATACAAGGGATGAAAATGAAGTTGAATGGTCAATTTTACCTTCCATTTTTCTTATCTGCTTGGGGTATCTACTTGGCAGATAAATAGTAATGAATAAATGGAAGGAGCAACTTCCATGAGATCGTAAGTCTCTCTCACTTCAGAAAGTGTGAAAGAAAAAAATAGTAATTGAGAGAGACTTACTTTGGGTGCTTCTTTAGCAGAAGATCAGGATCAGATTGAATGTTTGGGACTGATCATCTGAACTGTAGTTATAGTGGTTAAAGGTTCTGACTGAGTTCTAAACACCTAAAGAAAATCAAACACCCATGTTTAACCTCTGAAAATTTTGGTAAAGGAGACTGTACAACAACAGAACAGAAACATACAGGGAAAACAAGTTACAAAATACAGCTCTGCTGCAGACTAGCTCTTTGGTTATTAGACTTCCTTTCTGTCTCTGCCAACAATATCAATTCTTCTGACTTCTGCAGAGAGGACAGTTCTATAAATTGCCTCACCTTGCAGTTCATTTGCAATCCATGTCATGCTGTAAATGACATGAGTCCCACAGAAAGAAATTTATCTTATTATTTAAAGAATCATCATCATCATCACAAAGTGACAAAAAATAGACTCCATATTTCTGATTTTGTCATTTAGTGTTCTTTTACTGCTTAGTAAAATTACAAATTCCAGAGGTCCCTTGCATGCAATTGAAGTAGCAATCACATATATTCAGATATATTTGGATCTGGGGCATTCAGAACTGCAACACACACTTTTTCCAGTCACAATGAAAAAATAACTGGCACTGTTAACGACCACATTTTCTGAAATTAGTCACCCAGTTGATTACATAACAATTGACTAAAATGCAGAATAGTACCTGGAACTAGAACTCATGATTTGTGCTCTTGAATCCAGGGAAAATTATGGGTAAAACACTAGGTGTGCCAGCAAACCGATAAGGAACATTAAAAAAGCCACGGTGAAGTGTAAGATAATTAGATGTACAACATTGTATTATCATAGGTTTAGTTTGTAGGTTTACTGCATGTAAGATTGATTAAAAGTTAACATCTCTTTAGACACTAAGAGTTCACAAATATTTATTACATAGTAATAACACAGTTGTCTCATTTTGTTCCTGAGAGGTTCCTGATTTGATGAAGTTTAATCTGTAAGAAAATATTACCTTAAATCTTGTTTAATTTGCAGTTTGATTACAAGTAAAATTAATTGTAATGTTAAGATCTCTTACAGATGCTAAAACAGCATTCCATAAATGTTTCTTTCAAAGTAACAACAGATTTGTCTTGCAGGGTTCTGCAGTAATTTGTATAAAAAAAAAACCCTCCTATTAAATATATTCAGTAGAACTTCCTTTTTGCCTTGATATGACAGAGAGAAGTTATTCCTGACTACATGAAATCTAGTCTATAGGAAATTACTATTCTAAGCGGCTGGCTGAGAATAAGGAGGATTCCAAGCCTAAGTGCTGAAATCCAGAACAAAAATTAAAGAAGTCCTCTACACTGGTATTACAGTTACCATGCTCACACAAAAGACCAGCGCTTTGGATCTGGAGATGGTTCCACAACTAGTGCTACTACTTCCCTGTTTTCCTGGCAGATGATAACAATGAAGAGGCTTTTATGTATTTTTTTCCATGTCATCAGGACACCTGCATAGTTTAGGATATTTTAATAGTTTCCAAATATGTAAGTCACTGATTAGAATTCAGGCTAGATTAATCATGACCAAATATCATTGTCGGCAAATGGCTATAAAAGTATTTCAGCTTAGTTCTAAATGTATGTCTGTAAGCATTACTGGATATGTCACATTAAGTACCATATTTGAAACAGAAGAATACATTTGTCTTCTCTTTTTTCTGTATTTACATGAAAGACAAAAGGTAACTAATTTTTTTTTTTGAGGAAATTCATCAATAGAAGCCTCATTCAGAATTTTAATTTAAAACAATATTTTTTTATAATGTACTGTTTTTCTTAGTCTGATATTCAAATGAAAATGTCTCCTAAGTAAGATCAACATTTAGATGAAAAATGCAGCTTTTAGATATATCATTATTTCACTGAGTTAATAATTCATGCTTAAGAAGCATTATTAAACTGATTCTTCATATAGATTTTTCCTATTTAAGTATATGTAAAAAAAATTACATATGTAAAATATTCTGAGCTGTATCATAAAAAGGAATTTGCACTTTATTTACTAATATTTGCTGGTTTAAACTTGTTAATATTTCCTGATCCTTGCAATGAGTTATATACTGTTTTACAAAAAAATATTGCAATTAGGAAGAAACATTTGCTTTGAAATTCAGTACAATAGTCTCTAGAAGAAATCACAATTGTGTGGCATACTGACTGTTCTGTTGTAAGTATCATGCATTAAAGCAGCTTCCTGCAGATCTTTTCAGACATTACACATTTCTGTTGAGCATACTTACAGTACAAGGGAGAAAGCAACATTCATCAGAACAGCCTGAGTAAAATGGCAGAAAACTAGAAATGCAGTATAACTGAATACATATATATGTATGGTTTCACACATGTTGCATTTTTATATAATGGAGATTTTTCATACTTTGTAAAAAAAGCCTTTTATTGCAAATTAAGGGATGTACAAGTAATTATATTGGACTGTTTAAGTATACACTGAAAACAACTATGCATGCAAAAAACGTATACCACACTGGGAAAGCTATCAAAGGATGCCCACAGTTTCCAAGGAGATGAAGGGAAGAGGGACGACAACAAAACCCTTTCTTTTCAATTGGCATGAGCAGCAACATTCTAAGCCCTTTCTTGTTGCTAAATATAGAAAAAAAAACCCATTAAACTGAAATTTTGTATATCATAGAGTTAATATTATTTTAAATTAACTGAATGGACTAGATACATAGACATGGCTATATATCAATAACTTAAAGATAAATGCCTAATAATCCCTACCTTAGCATAGGTATCATTTTTTGTAAATCACTTAAGAATTTCCACGTTCATTCCAATACCTTGTTGTTCCCAAAAATGCAAAATCTTGCTCTGGTTGTAGAATGAAATCACTTTACTTGACAGATGAAGGAACTAAACCTTGATGTTCACAGAATAATGCAGTTACTAAAGGATGCAGGACAAAGATTGAGCATTGTGTCGCACCACACACACAAAACGGCAGTGTCAGTAGCCTGGCAACTGCAGCTCTTTAACAGGCACCATTTTAATTTTAACTTAACTCCTTTTTCTGTGCTTCAGCTACTCCACGTATTTCATTACTCGTTGTATTTCCTGATTGTACTACAACAATATTTACAGAATAATAATAGCTCTTTAAATCCATTACTTAGCATCCTTTAATTATCAAGCGGTGTGTTTGCATGTTATAAGTATTCATAAATGTATAACCACCAAGCACAACCAATAACATCTGCTTACATTGTTAGTGATGGTGGTCCATATGGTGTATGACCCGTCTAAAGGAGTACATGTGCAATATGGCATGCATACACAAGTAAATACACAGTAGCCTTATGTTCATCAATATTCTTCTGTGTATGCAAACCCCTAGTTTCTGAACAGCTATATGCAGTAAAGGCATAGTGTTCCTCTGCTTCTGTTCATTCTATTGTCACTATCTTCCAATTAAGTTTGTTTTCTTCTGTGGAAAGCTTTCTGTCACTCCTGTATGTTTGACATATAAAACTGTTATATTTTGTCCAGACTACTGTCCCCAGGTACCAGTATTTTTGTCAACATGTCAATGATAATGTAATAATTAAAGGTCATCTTTAGTGATATAAATGTGATGTCTCCATAAAGACAAGAGTATATTTACCCATCTTTGTGGCTAAATCCATTGTAGATGAAAATGCGACCTGTGAACCCTACCCAATGGGACCAGTTTGAAGCACCAGATAATGGACAATGAATTTATCTTGTTAAAAACATGAAGGTCTTCAAACCTACCAAGTAATCTCTGTGTGTCTGCAAGACACAGCAGAAACCAACCTCTTCCTGACTGCGCCTGCCTCAACAGCACCAAGTATCATGTAAGAACAGAAGCATCATTAGTACTAGCCTTCTTCCAATGGGTCTGGAAAACACCAAGCACATTATATCCATGTAAAGAAATTAAATTCTGTTTATTATGTCCAGACCCATGAAATAAAGCATAACTGGAAATATTGTGGTACCTAGCAGCTTAAAAGCCAACAGACAAATTAAATTTACTAAGACTAAACAGAGCTATGAAATTTCCAAAAACTCTAACGTTTCTGGAAGGAGCATCTAAGAAGTTAGTACATCTTCTAAATTCTATTCTATGTTATCTATCCATTACATTTAAATGTATTTATATCTTATTACTTTATGAATCGTCGGAATCTCAAAAGTAAAAGTAAGCACATCAGAAAATGAGAAGAAATCTAATACTATGAAAACTTTGACAATATGCATATTATCAAAGATCAGCTGTCATAGATTTTAATAGATCCATAGGGAAAAAGTTTGAAACAAAGCAATAGATGGCAGTGCCATATTTCAGTTATAATTTCTTATGAACCAGATATCTCAATATCAGTTGAACTACTACTCCCTTTAAACAGGAGTACCGCAAAATGCTAAAGAATTTTCAGCTCTTGATGTGGACAATCAAATTGCAGTTACTAATGTAGGTCTCAGTGTTACTGAGATTGTACACACGCTACTTCAAGCAACTGCTTCTGGGCAAAAGGTGAGCAAAGACTGACTATATTAATCATGACAGTCACAATGTAGAATAAAGTAGAATAATTACGTAGGTTTGTGCATGCATTGCTTTAAACAAAGTTAAGCTCTTCATACTTCCCAAGAGAATTTAACCTAGGTAGTCTACTGCCCGTTAAAGTGTCAGGTTGGTTGCTCATTTACCATTGAGCAGTATAGACATAAAGTTTGTATGCTTCTCGGTGAGAATCAGAAAAGTTTTTTCTACTTTTATACATAATTCATGGCATACAGACCATCTGTGGCTCCTGGAGAATCAGAGGCAAGAAAAGAGTGCCTTGGGCAAGCCTTAGAATTTCAGCAAGATTCTTCAAAAACACCAGAAGCCTTGGCTAGACTCTTGCAACCAGGATTTGCAGATGGCATTTCCTAACTTATGATCACCTACCAAGTGCATTCAGTTATCCAGACGCTGACTAGGAAAAGAACACTTATTTAAAAGATCATTTGAAACGAACAAGTGTTCTACTAGTGTTCACAGACATCTTGAACATCCACAATAAACTCAGAGCCAAATTATTAATAGAATTGATTTAACGACAGTATCTCTGGCTTCTCAAGGGAAGAAGATGTGGACCTCTTGCTGAAGTTTGGAAAAAGTCTGGATTTCAAATCACAGCCTAGACTGTATTTTGCAGAAACAAACACTTATTTGAAATTAAAAACAAATATATTAATCCAAGATAGATAACCTGCCTAGAAAAACCAAGGCAAACAATTTAGCATTAAAAATCGTAAATTGAGGTAGGTCTTACAAAGGAGTGGTTCTGGCTGTCTTGCCTACGCTACTTGTACAGTTTGACTAGAATATCCTTTATTGTGCAACTTTAACAAGATAATAGAAAGAGCAATGCTAGGGTTTGAAACAGAGCATGAAGAAATGCTGGTATTTCTAATGATACACCACCAGCAATGTTGAACTACACAGCTAATCAATCAGAGACATCATAGCTAGCAGGGGTAACAAAACGGTCATCTATAGAGTACTGGTTAGTCACATGGTACCAGAAATCTAGTTTTCAGATACTGTATGTAATACAAAGAAATATATAGACAACCATGCCTGATCTCAGTATAAAACATCTAAGATCCTCCATAAGAATTTTGTTCTGATCTTCCAACCCAGAGCTACCACAGCCTGCAGAAGATTGCTTTTCTGCTGGCAAATTGCCAAGTCACTTGCAATTGCAGATGAAGTTACCTCTTGATACATCTCATACCCGAATCCCTGATGAGCAGCTATTATTAAAAGGCAACTCCACATCTGAAACATTCATATCATGAGTGACATGTAAAATGAGAACAGTGGAAAATTAAAATGTCCTAGTTTTTAATACTTATGAGCATACAACTAGCATTACCAAGTAATACACAATAATACAATTAAAGCAGCTGCTGACCCTTATGTTTCAGTAGAATCTCTTCCATTCTGATTGATTAGCTGAGAATATAGTATCAAAACAAGAAATACAAATTACAGAAATATATGGTTACATAAAGGAGCTTGATACAGTGAAAGAATTGTGATTTATATTCACTTCCCACCATAAAGCTGTGAAAGCAGTAGTAGATCAAGCTTGCCCAAGGCATGCAGCAAATAAACATTAAAAAAATCCAAGATATCCTGCAAATGTTGCTATAGTAACAACTCCTCCTCCCTGGAAAAATGTTAACAAAACCACACAGATATCCAAGGTACAAGTTGGAAATGACCCTAGATGAATTTAATTATCTCCCAAATATTTTTGTTTTACTTAGTTACTGCTTATAATTATTTTAGTTTACTCCATGCACAGTATATTAACTCCTCCTAATACAACAAAATTAAATGTTTGATTTCTATCTCATTACATATTAAAGAATTACTACTCATTATATTATGCAACCTAAAAAATGCAAGTAGGTGGTTACTAAACTTCCAACATCTTTTATCCAGCTAGCAACACTATTTTTTCAAAAAACTCATTTTAGATGAGCTTATCTATGATTCAAGACCTCGTTAAAACTACTAAAAATCCCTTCTTAGCACCACTATGGGAATATTACTTTTGGTACTAGTAATATAACAAACAGCAGCTTGAAGAAGAAAAATATAAAGGAAGTAAAAGAGAAAATATTAATTTAAACAATTCTTACTCGTTGTTGTCCTTCATACCAATCATCTTCATCAAACCAGTGGGAAATACAAGTCATCCAAGCCATGACAGAAGGCACAGTTGAAATAAAAAATACAAAACCTGAATACATGTAAGTACAATGAGTCTTGTGCTAAAATTTACTTAACACAACAACAAGCTACCCAAAGATCAGATCTGAACTCTATGATTCTACATTAATAGGCTTTACATTCATAAATACGTAATTTGAAATATTTTTAGCAGCAATTTAAATGCCATATGTATTGGATTCTGAACTGGAAAACATAAATCAACACTAAAAAAATTATTAGATTATATAGTATTTTAAATTAAAGCAGATTAGTGCTTCAAGCTCGATTTTACAGTGCTTCCGAGCTCTGAAAATGAGGTGCTGTTTAAGTCATTTGTCTCCTAAAAAATTTTTCCTTTTTTTCAAATGTACTGTCTGTAAGAAGCATAGTTCAGTGCACAAAAGCTTGTATTGAAATGTAAAATACCTTCAGAATCATGGGGAGTGATATGTTTTGGTTATGTAGGGAGTAGTTTCAACTGGCACAGTAGGAGGGGCAATGACTATCACAAGTGCCGAACATCTTATGTTTAACATTTTTTTTTAAAAGTGGAAAAAAGAAAGAAAAAAAGATCTGCATCTCTGTTGTTCACCGCCAGCAGAGCCTGAAGGGCTCAGCTATAGCCATCAGTACTAGCTGGGCAATTTAAAAAGCTTAATTTTCACTAATTCATTGGAATGCATCTGCTTCTTTTCTCTCCCTCGGTAGAGTTTCACGGATCTGACTATTTATTCTTTCTGCAGCTAGTTATCCTTTCGTGGTATGCTCCCAAGTTTCACATCAGATTTCACAGTGCATTATACCAATGAAAACAAGAGGTAAAAAGAGGAATAAAAGCTGTATTGCTCATGCCACAATTCAGTACTGCAGCAGCACACTTCATCAGCTGTGCTGTTTAGGAGACATTACCATACAAATCTTCTGACTGCATGGTTGCAGCAACTACTAAATCCTCAACAAGAGATTATGGAGACCCAAAAAACCCCCAATTTCTTAAGAAATCTAGAACCCAGACAACCTCTGCCTTTCTGTACTGGATTAACAAACTCTTTCCAAAAAGTAATATAATAAATGCAAAAGCTAGACTGTGAAGTCAATTGTTCAATCAAGAAATAAACAAAGCAAAGTAGGAAAAGAACAGCTGGAAGTACCAGATATTAACCTGGAGTTAGTGGTCAACATTACTTACCATTTCCAAAGAGCAATTCAGTGTCATTCCAGCCCTATTCTCGCACATGTAGTTTCCATTACGGCTATTGTATAAGCAAGCTACATTCTCAGATACACAGCAGGGAAATAAAGAAAGCCGTAATACTTTTGCTTTCTAACCCCTACTAGAAACGATGACATCCAAGGGGAAAAAAAAAAAACAAACCACAAACACAAAAATAATAAAAATTTAAATCAAGACACCCATTATATTTATGGGAAGTAGCATTCCCAGATTAGCAGATTTTTTTGTGGTTATACAGTCCTCCAGATAAATGGATACATATGCAAGAACATACAGAGGAACTTCCCACCATACTGCTGAAATGTTTCAGTTACTTGCCCTTTGAGACTTCGGCTCAAACATAAACAATGTAAAATGCACAGAATCACATGGTCTCGTAAACTACATGGAAAACACAGGAGTAATTCAGACACCTCTATTCATATGGCTGAAGAAATGCCTGACCATATCCATGGTCTGCGACTAAATGATAAAAATGTTACTGAACAAAAACATTACAATTTGCTAAACAAATCATATCCATATTATTACCCCAAAATGATGTTTTCAAATAAATTAATACTAGCACATTTAGGAAAGCCTTTGCTTTCAGGCTGCTCTGTCTCTTTATAAGGGCACATGGCACCATTCAGAATCTTGAGCAAAGTTATTACATGTAGTTCAACAGTAACAATTTTTTTTTGTTTTACACCTATAGCTATTCCAAAATGTATGCGAACTGAATTTTCTAATCTCAACACCAATGTAGTGTTAGAACAATGAGTCTCTCAAGAGAGATTAACACAGTGTTCACATTTAGTTTCAGGGTCATTGGGGAAGCATGGGCTAAATGAGTATGGATACTGCATTATCCTTTCAATAAACTGGTGGTATCTTCAGCTCAAAGGTACAGACACAATTAAAATCTTCACAGGATAGCGGATGGGAACTTAAATGGCTAAAAATGATCTGTTACAACTACCTGTAAATATAGTAAAAAGCTTTGTGCTAAATTATACTTGAAAAATAGAGACAAGCAAGACTGGTAGCTGCAAATGCATGATGGACCCATTATATTTGTTTGCCTATTCCACCACTCATCTCCAACTCCTGGAAAAACAACTGGCATATATATATACTACAGGTATAATAATACTCCAGTGGAGGTTGAATGATACTCCATGTACTAAATATGACAATAAAAGTATGAAAGATCTCAAAGTATTCCAAGACTTACATTTTGTAATTAAGGTTAATCTTATTAAATGTTTTATAAGTAACTCAGTATGCACTTAACCTGAAGTCCAGCTGGGACACCTAGTTAAGTGTTCTCTACTTTTAAGGACAACAAAAATGTACTATGATGTCAAAGTCAAAAACCGGAATTTTTATTCAAGCATTGAATGTTAATAAGGAATGTTAGTAGATCAGACCAGAAGAGACATCTTTAAGGCGTATACAGCCTTACAATAGATTGCCCAGTAAATGCAGTTGCAATATTCCACAGGGAATAAAAAGATAAAACAGATCCTATTCATTTCATGCAGAAACAGTTGTTTAATTCTTGAGCTGACACAAGGAAATGGAATGAAGCTGCGTCAGAGGACGTTCAAGTTGGACATTTGGAAAAAGTTCTTGACTGAGAGGGTGATTGGTCAGTGGCACAGGC